TTTTTTGAGACAGGGTTGTATGACTGACTGAACTACAGTGACTCCATGTTGACCAGCAAACGACCCAGAGATTGTTGTCCCCCCCCTTATAAGATAAGTAATGACTGATTGTGAATTAATAGGTAAACTGCTTGGTAGTTCTGGGAAACTAGATAGAAACTGTAATTGGGAAACTAGAGTGAAACTGTAACAAACATAGAGGCCTAAAGTAAATCACTCCACTCCTTGTATGCCCATAACTGAATGTTCTCAACACCACAATCTATAAAACAATGGATAATCGATCTACTGACCATTAGTATGTAATGGTTGAGTACATGATTGATGACCACCAGCTCGGATCAACTGACCACTTGCCTTTGTCCCCTTCCTATAAGTTTTGAGTGTAAACTCCCCCCATAGCCCTATATAAAATAGCCTCTGATTCTGAGCTAGTTGCCTCTCTGAGCTGCTTGTTTCCAGGAGTACTGTCTGACCAGACTAATAAAGGTCTGTTTGCCACCTAGTCTGGTGTGTTTCTTCCTGGGTGATTCTCACTGTCTGACAAGCTCCTGGAGTCTCACTGATCTTTAGGGCTCAGCATTGTGGAGGCCTTTTGGCTGTTCATGCTCCACAGAGTAAAAGTGAGACTTTAAGTCTTACATTTTGGAGGCCCCAGTGAGATTTCCCCAGGTGAGAACTATAAATCCGGCTGAGATTCTCTGTTGTGGGATCCAGCAGGAGATTCTCAGACATAGACCTTTGAGGGCCTCCGGAGGTAGGCTTTGGACTGGTTGCAACCACTCGTCAGGATCAAAGTGGCTCACGAGCCAGGAAGCCTCCCCTGACCCCGGCCCTGACGATGACTCTGGGTAGAATCAAAGCTTTTTTTCTTTTTATGTGGTACCTGTTTGTCTTCTCTGTGTCCTCTCTGTTGAGTGTTAACTTTGCATTCATTCATAGGAACAAGATGGGAGGATCAAGTTCCAAAAACACCCCATTGGACTGTTTTCTCACTAACTTTAAATGGGCTTTTTCTCCTGAGCAGGAAGATGAATATGGAATGAGGTTCTCTTGAGGGAAACTCTGAACCCTCTGCAACTTAGAATGGCCCGCCTTTGCACTGGGATGGCAAGCTGAAGGTTCTTTCAAACCAAGACTTTGTTGGGTGGTATGAGAGAAAGTCACTGGACACCCTAGCCACCCTGACCAATTCCCTTATATTAATATCTGGGCCCAGGCCTGTGAAGAACCTCCAACATGGTTACAGAGCTGCTCCCTGAGCACCAGTTCTTGCATTTTGGTAATGGTGCCAAATGGGATAAAGTCCTTAAAGTGGCAGGTACCCAGGCTGGTCTTCTCTCAGGAGCTGGACCCCTTAGAGCCTACTGACCCCAGGGTAAGACCCCTTCCATATGCAGAATCATCCTCTGGGGAGACAGGGGTCAAGTCCAACTACCCATCTCTTCCGAAGGATGGGGAGGTCC